TTGATGAGCCTAAAAAAACGAAATCAATGAAGAAATCCAAAAGACTCTCCTCTTCGGAGTTGAAATCCGAGCCGCTATCCATTAGACAAAAAAATTCCTCACAAGATTCCTTTTTTGCAAATTTGGGCCAGCTATCCGATTTCATGGGAGCCGATCAACTGCAACTCTCCTTTTGTAACTGGTATCCGATTCCTAACGAGCGGGCTATCATTACTGGACTCTTGAACGCTATCCGATTCCTCAAAACCTGTATATTGACTCTCCTCAGAATATCCGATTCCAAATTTTATCCAACATTTCAAACTCTATCGAGAATGTAAGCATCCAATTTGATAAAAGCCGCTATAATTACTCAAGACTCGTGTTCGTGGTCATCTTATAAACGACTCTCCTTCGAACCTGTCCCTCAGATTCCTCATTCCGAGGGCTATCATAACTGCACCGACTCTTCAACTGATACATTACTGGAGTTCTTAGTAACAGTTGTCGCTATTTTAACACTCTCTCTTCGAAATTCCTTTTCCGAGCCGCTATCCATTAAAACCGACACTCCGATTTTAATCCGAGCCGCTATTTTCCACCGCCTTTTCGATATTTTTTGTGATTGCTTTAACCTTTAACTCAACTCTCCAAGTTTCTTGTTCACCACTTTAGTAGCCAGATACTGAACTCATATCTCTTTCGGTCAAATCAATGGATCCAACCAACGCTGGGCCATGTTATCCTTTTTGGTTGTTATTTTCTTAATGTTCACGGGCTCCATCCATGGAATTCAGACCAGCCTTCTGTAGGACTATATCTATTGCATTTGTTCACCACCTCATCTCTCAGGAAATTGTCCAGATTTCACTGTCATATAGGAAGATTGGTATTACATCGCAGGTCAGCTGCCAGAGAGTGAGGCGGAGATAGCAAGCCTCTTGAAAGTGTCCGGATATTTCAATGCGAGGGATGTCTCTGGTGGGGCGTGAATCATTTGTGGCTGAGGAAACTAAAAAGACATTCTGTTTAGAACACGGAAAGAATACTGCAAGTTGTAGGTAGGCACAGGAAATACTTACAACTCCAGCAAGTCTTTAAGAACCAATGCCACTGACTAAATACAGATACTAGACACTGTGGTCATTGAACCTGTGCTAGTTTCAGAACGATTCTGCCACCACCTTACTCATATACATACACACACACACACACACATATATACACATATATATATATATATATATATATATATATATATATATAGATAGATAGATAGATAGATAGATAGATAGATAGATACATACATACATATATATGCATATATATATATATATATATTTCGATCATAGGTGCAGTTCAATTTATAATTACATGAATCATTCATACAAAAAACAAATATAAAGGTTAATGATTTAAATGGCAAGAATACATATTCGCAAACAATTTCAATAAGGTACACTAACCCCCCGAACTTGTAATTATATATATATATATATATATATATATATATATATATATATATATATATATATATATATGATGGACTCTCCCGTCGGTTTCGACGTATGAGGTTCAACAACTTTGTTTATTTAACCTTGTGCGTAAGTCGCAAGTGACACTTCAGTCCCGCCAGTTATTTGCAAAGAAGTCCTCAGATTGTGCAAGAGTGTGGATTGTTGGAGTATATGGCTGGAACAGCAGCAGATATTTTATTCTTTTCCCTAGTTTGACGAAGCTTGACAATGTTTGATGCTGCCTTGTTCTTGATGCCATTGTAGCATGTAGTCTTCCATTCATTACGATCAATTACGATGTTCTCAAAGGTAGCGTGATTTATATTCGCAGCTAAGAGGTTACTCTTCAGCTTGTCCCTTTACCTAAGCAAAGGCCGACCCACGTTTCGATGATTATTGTCAAGTTGACCATACATGAGCAATTTTGGAATTCTGTTGTCTTACATACGTAACACATGACCTGTCCAACGTAATTGTGATTTCATGAGAAATAACTCATATATATATATATATATATATATATATATATATATATATATATATATATATATATATATATATATATATGATGGTATTGAGTCCTTTCTCAGGAAATCACAAGAAAATATATATATCACAGTTCAAAATTTTGAAGCCACCCCCAAAATTAGCCTAGGATGAACTTGACAGAAGAGAGGAGAAAAATTAAAAAAAGCTCTTAGAGTCATTGAAAATAGAATGGAATCAACTACCAAACTTTGCGAAACTTTTGCAATGAATGTCAAAAATCTGTGCCGCAGTAATCAAGGCTAAAGGAGGATATTTTGACGAGAGCAAAACTTAATGATAAAATACCTTTTTTTCTTTTTGCCATAATAACTTCTAACAAAGAATCATGTCTCACTTTTTTAACAATGTATAATAATTTTCTTTTATTTAAAGTACAAAACAAAAGCTTTTGGGGCCTATTTACAAACTTGCCAAGGGTGGCCTCAAACTTTTGAATTATAGTGTGGGTGTTGTGT